TGAGCATTTTGAAGCCAACCAATCAAATAATTTGTTACAGAGAGTCAATTGACGAAATCATAATCATCATTGAAATTTGTCAAAGATATTAACCCCCCCCCCAAAAAAAAAACAGAAAAAACATAGGCCCTATGTATGTATTATTTCTGCGGGCCCATTTGAGTTATTGAAGTAGTGTCACTATATAATCTAGCATTTTGCTATATTTGATAATTTCTGATTAAAAACTACACTTTTGACAACTTTTAGAGGGGTGGGGGTTCCCCTTTAAATAGTGTTATTCAAATAGCATTTGATCATGTATTTGGTACCCTGCAGCTTCTATGACCTTAAATTCATATGTGGGAAGTTGTATCTCGGGTTCAATGTCTCTTAACATTAAAGGAGGAATTTAATCACCATGCAACCTTTCTTATATTATATTCAAGCAAATTTACTTGATTTACAATTTATCAAGATTTCTTTAAGTATGTAATTCTAAATTGTATTCATCTTAAATGTTCTATTGACACTGATATAAGATCTTGATCAAGATCAATGTATGGGCAAAATTCAAGCATTTCCTTAATTTCTAAAAAAAAAATTGTGTTTTGAAAAGAAATGATGTAATTTAAAGATTGGAAATGTTGGAGAATGATAAGGCCTATATGTTTAAAACCTTGAACATTATTTACTAAGATTATCAGGATTAAATAACATTGAATAAAGAAAGTTGAAAATTAAGATGATAGTATAGAGTATATATTAATGTCATACAAAGATGAGATAGCTTTACAAAGTTGGATTAAATTACTGGTGTGATATAACCAAAGTATACCGTATTGCTTCCAATTAATGTCCTAGAGAGAGGGAAGGATCTGAAAAGGTTGGTCCACAAATCGTCTTAAATATTTCCATTCCCATTCTGTTAAAAAAACAACTTAGTGGAGTCTTTTTAAGAATTTGTTTGAATTTTTTCATGTGAAGAATCTTGCATGAACAATCAGTTTTCAAGGTCAGTGGTTCTAGTCACCTGGTGAGTATACTAATGTAAGAACCGGTTAGTAAAGCTGGGAGTTGCAATATATGAACATTATAAGTGTCCAAGTACAGTGACATTGCAAATACTTTTTAATGTGGGATCAATTTGCGCATTAAAATTGATTTTCCCTGTGTGAAGTGGAGTGAGTGGGTGATCTGAAATTTGTACACAAGTTATTGGTCCAGATTAATTTTCATCAAGTTATACAAAATTTAAGAAAATCAGTAAATTGTGGACCTTTCATGTCAAAAAAACTGCAGTGGAGTCCCTTTAAAGGCAAGCTGGACAAAAGCACTTCTTTAAGTAGGATTAAGTAACAAAATGGGAAAAGGAGTTAAGATTATTTAATGAGGATAAACCCATTGAGTTTTTGATTTTTCAAGGAAAATGGTATTTCCGTTTCTTATAATGAAGTGGGCTTGATATAAGGATGAACTTGATGGGATGGTTTAACCAATCAAAGTCAAACATGGAGAGCTGTTAGTGTTTTCCTTACCGTTATAAGTGAGACATCTGGTACTATACTAAAAGGCAAGTGGAAAAATCATGTTTTGAGGAAATGTTCACCAGGATACGCTACAGCTAGCAGGACTTTTTTCCTTGTAAATATCAAAATTTTACAATGGGTTGGTTTTTTCCCCCTCCCATCGGAGATGCAAAAATTATATTCTGAATCCTTGGTCTGCATTTATGTTGTTGGTAAATTTAAAAAAAAAAAGAAAAAAGTATTTTGTTCAAAAGGGAATTCACCCGCTCAATAGGAAGATTGTAGGACTTTTAATCCAGGTTTGATTCTTGGGCAATGCAGAAGTTCACCATTACAGTGGATCTCGGACATTAAATATTAAGGTCTTTTGTCTCACACTCGTGTGGTTTCTTACATAGAAATACTGGTTAATTATCTAGGAAAGTGGACTGACCAACAAAGTGTGACCAAAAAATGTATTGAAGTAAATAAAAAAAATTACTGGTTAGTTATCCAGGAAAGCTGGTGTTGTGAACTGACAGACAAGGTGTTACAAAAAAATGTGTGGAAATTAGCATGAAGAAATTAGTAATAACTGGTTAGTTATCCAGGAATGCTAGTGTAGCGGACTGACGGACAAGGTGTGACATGTCTAAATCGGCATAAAAACCAGACAAACAAAACCAAATTATGTTTTACTTTTTGTAGAAGTGGAGCTTACATAAAAGTAGTACTAAAACTCGCAAGCAGCTGTCCTTTCATTGTATTTTTTGCAACAAGGAAATCTGTTGAATGATTTTTACAGACAACCACTACACTTTTCATTCTTTATCTACAGTAGGTGCTGGAAACTATTCAAATAATCACCTGAAAAAATCTTAATAGAAATTTGTAAATTTGATTAGGGATGCTGGGCTGTACATCTGGTATACAGGACCAGGACTGGAAAAAAGCTCTGATAATTTAACACGGTCATGTTCTGGCAGATAAACAGATTTTATTTCAGTAAATGTTGGTGTTAAAAGTCAGATTTAAAATGAGAAACTTCTTTTTACTTGTATCTTAGAATTAATGCTACTTAACTCATTCAGTGCTGTTAAAATAATGTTTCGGAAATTTCCCATTGAATTTCAAATGCAAAACAACATAGCTATTGTTAAAAGAGTTGGTGGGAAGGAATGCATATCTCAGCTTGATCAGAAAAGATAAAAATAATGGTGATTTGTCATAGCATATTTTCTTGGTAGAAGTAGATAAAATATTCCTAGCTATATTACTCAAGCAGATATTGAGAGTTCAGAGGAAACTGCATCCGAAATTTGATTGGTTTAATCAATGTATAGAATTGACCAATGAAAAAACGGCTTTAAGAGGGGCAAAACGTTTTGAATGTATTAATTTTGATCAGATTTTTTGTTCAGGCCAGACTGGCATATGGAATTTGTTTCCTAGGCATTGGTGGAGTGATTAAAGGTATTCCAAGATAAATTAGTTAACTTGTTGCACCTGTGAATATGCTTTGTTTAGATGACTAATGAATGTTTACTCTTAATATATATATACACACACAATTTACATTACCTGTGTAGTGAGCAGGCATCCAACTTTTCGCCAGAAAACATTCTCAAATTTAACCTTGAGTATTAAAACCTGTTTGAGATGTTTTATACAAGTCCGGGAGATGTGTCTATGTTGGCCTCATCGGTCTGTTACGTCTTTGACATCAGATGATCAAACTTTTTGTGAATTTTTGCCGAATTATCTTCGTAACATGTTTAATGTTTTCGAAGTTGCTTTAGAGACTTTGGATTCTTTCATGTTAGGAAGCTATCTAGCTAGCTTACAGAGCATTGGTCATTCTACTCAGGTTGCTCTACTAGGGTTCCCCTTCGTGCCTGAAATAATTTACAGAAGGGCACCTGAGGTCTTACTTTGGCCAATTTCATACAAGAAATGAGATTGCTCTTGTCTTTGTAAATTAAAGCAGCATTTCAAGGTAAAACTGTCTTGTGGCAGCAATTAATGACACAAATTGTACAACATGCATGATTGGTCACTTTTCAGGTCTTCTAAATATCATGTTTATGTATTGTAAATATGCAAACTGGGATATATTTTAACTAAACTATACTAAACAATAAAATCTTTATATATTATTATGCTGTCAGTAGGTACAATTGTTAAGTTTTTAGTTTGATATTATAGTGTTCAAAGGGAGGTTTGTATGGGGGGAATAGGACTGGTGAAGTCTTTAGTTAAAGAAGAAGAAAAGGACAGATAGAATAAACAGTGTGGTGTGTATAATGTGAGGAGGGTCTAGTGTTACAGCCTGTATTTGACATAGGTCTTCAATCATTCTAGTCACTAAACAGAAAATGGGCTGTCACAAAAGTAACCTCCTCATTTGGAGGAGAGGTGACTATAGAAGTAATAAAATGTAAACAAAATAGTACTTTGATATCCATATAATATACTAAACAATTGTATTTGTACAAATTGCCAATGGTTAGGGAATTGGAAAATGAATAACTTGTAGGGCACCAAAAAATATGTAAAAGTTTTGTTTGTAACCAACCCTATTACAAGTAGAGAAACTGATAGCGAACAGCATGGATCCTGATCAGACTGTCCAGATGCGCAGGCTGGTCTGGATCCATGCTGGTCGGAAACGCATGATGTTGGTTTTGTTATGGCGTGGCTCATATATATTTTTTGGTGCCCTGATAAAGGTTCCATCAAGTTATTCTAAAGTTAGTTATAAAAATAAAAGCATTTCTGTGGCACAATGGGCCTCTAACAATTAATGGCAGGTTTTTCAGTAAATAGCAATATTAGCTGTATTCTTCAGGCTTTTAACAGTTTTCTTTGTTTATATATATGCATAAAGAATGTAGGAAAGGTGTGAGAGAATAAAGACTTCTCATGTCATAGATATGTACAGATGTATCATATACTATCTATGAGTGTATGTTTGTATGTGTTATTACAATGTTATGATGAATGAAGTAAGATCAGTTCTCTCCTGTTACTTTACCTGTTCTGTTCTACATAACTTTTTGACAAGAAGAAAACATTTACAATTATACCGGCTGTGTGTGTATAGGTAGTAAGTCATCATTTCAAAAAACGTGTTTGCTACTTGTAAATGTTTTAATCTTGTTCTTATTTGAGTCACCAAGTCGTTAAATTGTCATCAAAGTGCCATTATAAGGGAGTGAGACTGTTACCCAGAAACTATGATAAATTGGCTCATCCATCTTTAAATCTGGACTTAACTATTCATCATTGCTAGGGAAATTTTTGAAAATATGTACCAGCTCAGATCTCGGTAAAAGTTTAAAAATTTAAACATGTTATAAAAAACAGTTTTGAAATTAGTCTGAAGTTATCTCCCTTTTAAGTTAATCACCTTCCCAACCGCCGACCCCCTCGATAACCAGCCTCCGACCCCTACATAAAACAAACGGTATCAAATCATCATTTAATATAATCTGTATCTTTTTATGTTTTCAGATTCTGAAAATAGACCCCAAACGGGGGTGACCTAGCAACTTTTCCAATTATTGGACACTGAAAAGAAACAAACAAGAAAAGATGGCGACCCTGTCCTTAAAGATAAGTATTGTGGGTAACAATACGGTGAAGACGATGCAGTTCGAGCCAGGAATGATGGTTTTTGACGTCTGTCGCAGTATTAGAGACCGACTCGAAGGAATACCCCACCCACCTGGAAATCGTAAGTTTAATGTAGCCCATTATTCAAATATTTTAAAAATTATCCACATGAAACTTTGAATACTTGCTTATCTTGATAAGGTTCAGTTGTTAGACAAGGGGCGTAATTCTGAGAGCTATATTTTCAGAATTATACCCGTTTTAATTTAGAATTTTTTACAGATGAGCGTTAATGCCACTTGTATTTTGATATTGAAATCCCTTTAAACTTAAATGGACTGTTCCAAAATCAAGGCAGGGCAAATCCATGCAATTCCATCAGCAAGTTAAAGATCTCAAATTCTAAAGAATAATTAATAAGAAATTTATTTCTAATTTTATGAGGTTCTTCTTTGAGACGTTTTATTTTCCAATGAATTCAACTTTATGAGTGACTCATTAAATTTTGAATGTTACAAGTTCTTGGTTTTGTTAATGAATGAATAAGGACCTCTGTGGAGGAAAAGCAGTTTTTGGAAACTAAAGAATCTATAATTAGAATCAATGATTTAATTCAAATAGCAATGGGATGAAGTCTGAAATTTAAATACAGAAAAATTGAGTCATTTGGCCTGGGAGCACAGTTTGACAGATTTTGATTTGAAAACCGAGAAGGCCAGTTTGTGTACAAGTGTATGAGCAATTGTTGTGTGCCAATATGAAAGAGGAGAAAAATGCGCATTGTCTGTGAGATGGTTGTAGTTTGTAATTTTGCCAGTTTAGAGCGATTATGTCATGTTGGGACAATTAAATACTGGTATTACAATACCAAACAATGTTAATTCACTTGTGAATAGTTTGAGATAAACGTATTGATGGCAGTTAATTTGATTGCGTTTTGAATAATTCTCGATTTCATACGCAACTTAACAGCCACTTTCAAGTTTCCTGGAAAAAATATACAGTCATTCTTTCCTTGTTTTCATGAAAGTGACCACATTTTGTATAAAATTTATTGGTTCATTTTTAGCTTGTCTGTTTCTAAGTGTATTGTAGTAAGTGTTTCTAAGTTATTATGGTTGCTGTGGCAGCATATCTGTTGTTCAAAAACTTTAATGTAGCCCATTTTTTCAAAATTTTATAAGTTATCAACATGAAAAGCTCGTAATACTTGCTTATGACAAGGATCGATGGTGCAGTTGTTGGAAAAGGAGCGTAATTCTTAAAGCAATATTTTTGGATCTATATCCCTTCTTAATGTAGAATTTTCAACAGACAAGCGTTAACATGGTATGTGGTGTTCTTATTTATTTTGATTTGTAACTTTCCCTGTTCTGTATATACATCTGTGGACGAGTGGTTAAGGTCGTTGACTTCAAACCACTTGCCCCTCACCGCTGTGAGTTCGAATCCCGACAGGGACTTTGGATTCATTCATGTGAGGGAACTGTGCAGCTAGCTTATGGAACGTCGGTGGTTTTACTCAGGTGCCCGCTCGTGCCTGAAATAATGCACGGAAGGGCACCTGAGGTCTTCCTCCGCCAGTAAAGCTGGAACGTCGCCAAATGACATATTCTGTGTCGGTGTGACGTAAAACCCAATCAAACAAACAAACTGTATATACATAAATATTTGTAAGTCCAGTTATAATGTTGTGAAGAAAATATACTATTTATACAGTTATGACAGATTTTTGTCGGCCTTGAAGTTCTATAAATGATTAAGAGTTTTATTCTGTATGAAATAAGATACTAACTCCAGCATCATAATTATTTGCATTTTGTTTTCTGGAATTGTTTATTCAATGGTACACAAAGCAATAAGATGGTATCTTTGAAGAATTAAGTGGACCAGTTAATATAGTTATACAATATTGCCTGACTTCTCTAGTTTAAAATGATCGGGAATTTCTGAATATCAATTAAGGTTTTTGGTGAATCAATGCATAATATAAACATTAAGAAGAAATGAATGGAGAATAATTGATCAATTTTCTGTTTTTGGAGCATGCAAACAAGTTCCTTCTGTTGTTTTCTTTTTTCATTGCAAAATGATTACTTAACCCATAACTTGCTGAAATTGGGTAATGGATATGCCCAAATTTGAATTTGGAACAGTCCTGGATTTAAGGGATTTTAATATTAAAAGTACTAAAGTTGAGTTGCTATAACTGTATAATGCCTACTACTTTTGTGTAGAATTTAGAAATTTTCTACATATTACTGGCAGAAAAATATGTAAGTATTGGCATGTGACAGGAATAACTGTTTCAGTGTAAGAAATTTGGATTTGAATCCACTAGGCTGATCGGACTACCAGATTGAAACAAAAGACATTTCACTACCATGATTCATTTGTTCAATACAGTTGTTTATAATGCCTCTGAAAATACAGTAGTCTGGCCGGGCTTGTTACTGTGAAAAGTTGGTAGCCCGAGGAGAAATTAAGTAGTCAGAGGCTATCGGACTACTGCTAATTTTGAACACTTATGTTTAAAACTGGTACTCAACTTATTTAACAACCAATCGAGAGATGTGGAATAGTTAACCTTGTAAACATGTCAACTATTACAAGATTTTGAGGATCTGTAGCAAATTCATTTCAGTAATGTAATGAAGATAATTAAGTCTTTTACTGATATCCTTTGATTGATTAAAAAGCTGAAATTTTAATGTTGACTGTTTGCTAGGCATTAATTGAGCAGGTGAAGAAATATTTTTACTTCAAACCACTTGTCCTGCATCTTTGAGAGTTCGAGTCCTGGTCAGGTCTTTGGATCATATGAGGAAGCTATTCAGGTAGCTAAAGGTCAAGATCAGCAGTTCTACTTGGCTGGCTAGATGGTCCATCCTGCTTGAAATAATGCATGAAGGAACACGCAAGCTTTTTTTTTACCAACGGTCAAAACTTTAAGTCGCCATACGGCCATAGTGTCTGTGTGACATAAAGGCTTAAAACCCAGTTCATAATAATGCCATAGTGTCTGTGTGGCTTAAATTTTTAACACACACAAAAAAAATCATATTTTTTCAACAGTATTCTTGGGCTGCTGTTCTCATCTAGTAAAGTGGTATTGTAGCATAAACCTTTCAGTGTATTGGGAACGAGCTTTTTTTCTCGTATCTCCCCACCATGAGAGGGTTTTAGGAAAGAGAATACTTTGGTGGACGCCTCATGAAAAATTCATGTGAAAGTATGCGAATAAAAGGAAAATAGGGGCTATTAGTGTAGTGTATAATTTAGTAAATTGTTCATTGTTTATGCTTGACATTTTCTCTATCACATTTTGGCATTTCCGAGGCACGATGGATTCAGTTGGGAAAAAACTTTGCCGATGGAATGCAGAATGCAACATGAGACTTTGTACTTGATAAAATTTCCATCAGTGTATTACTGTATTTAGAGAGAGTTAGAAATGTCTAATGTTACACCTAGATAATTGTTAGATATACCACCAATTTCTATGTTTAGAATGTCACAGGACTGCAATAATTATTACTGTTGTTTTTATCATATTAACAAGTTTCCCTCTTTTGTTTAAACATATGAGCCGCGTCATGAAAAAAACCAACATAATGGGGTTTGCGACCAGCATGGATCCTGATCAGACTGCGCGGATGAGCAGACTGGTCTGGATCCAAGCTGGTCGCAAACGCACTATGTTGGTTTTGTCGTGACGTGGCTCATATTTATTTAAGCTCGATTGCGAAACAAGTTCTTGCAACTTATATTAATCACTTTCAAGTCCACTTCCTGGAACCAACCAGTACTGGTGTCATATGAAGAAACATATGACGCGAGTAATGCTCGAACCCATGATCTCTGGGTTGAGAAGCAGACACCTTAACCACTAGGCCACCGCTCCCCTTAGGTTTCCCTCTTTAATTTTGTAATTTTGATATCTTTTATTAAGTGGAGTGAACCTCAATTGTGAATTAAGTCTTTATTATTATTTTTTTTTAAAACAGTGTATTAACATTGTAGCCTTAAGAAACTTACTGTCTGTAACTTAATGAAAAATTATACAGAAATTTCTCTTACTTTAAAATGGGTTTAAAATGGGTTCTAGTAAATTTTTTATATTTTTGCACAGTACATTTATAGTTTCACCTGAGATGGGAATATTTAAACATCTCTTAGACTATAAAATCTTAAAATAAGTTTCATGTTTTAAAGATTTATTTTATGCCCACCATTATAGATAAGTGAATATTTATGCCAGTTGAAAAGTTAAGTAAAGATATATATATATATATATTCAGTTACATTACTTAGATATCATTTTACCTGTACACTATATCCTATGCAAGAAATACCTCTTGCCATTTTAAATTCAATATAAGTATGAATGTATATATAGTCTATGTTTAATGAGGGTCCATCCGCCCGTGTATGGCACAAAAATCAGCTTTCGATGGCGAGTCAATATAATATAACAAATTTCATTACCATAAGATATTGTTACCTTTACACTGTATCCTATACAAGAAAATATCTCTTGCCATTTTAAAGTCAATAATTTTATAATATGCTTGCTAAAGGGGAAAATATGAGTTGCAAAAAATTGATTAGTTAAAGCAAACAATTTAATAGAATTAATACAAATGGTAAAAGCTCAACTGGGAGACAGAAGAACGTTCATGGGGGTATGACTATTGATTAGCAATGAGGAGATAAAATAAAATGATCTGTAGGAATATTTCTTGTCTTTTATGACCAATAATAATTGTTAAGCTTCCAGTCAGAGGAATGGTTGATTTTGATTAACCCTTTTGTTAACGGCACATTATGCCTCCGAAATCCATATTTATAGAATTCTTTAGAAATGTCAAACATGTGTTTAGTAATGTTTTAATAATGGATTTAGCGCTAGTTAGATTTTTTTAACAGTTGAAGAAACCAAATTTGACCCCTGGTGTTGCTTTGGAGTTTGTAACACCCAAAGTTAGCCAAAATCATCTTTCCTGTTTTGGTGGCATTATGACCTATACTGTGTTGGTGTGCCGTAAAACCAAACCAACAGACCATCCTGAGAGATTATCATGCAGTTTTTAACTGCCGTGGTTTAAATGGTAATTTTGA